CGGGCGCGCCGCGCTCGCCGCTCGCTATTGTCCCCCGCGCCGGGACCGCGTTCTCAGCGGTGGCGGGCAGAGGCGGCAGCGAGCCTCCCGGCGAGGCCTTTCCCCCCGGTCCTCCCCTCCTCCTCCTCCTCCTCCTTACCTCCCCCCACTTCCCCGCCCGGCGGCACCGGAGAAGCAAAGTCGGGGAGCTCGGGGTCGTCCGTGGAAGCCCAGGCCGGGCGTCCGCAGCCTTCCGGAGGGCGCGGACAGCTGTCGCGGGGCTGTCGGCTGCTCGCCGCCCTCGATCGCCCTCCTCACCTTCCTCCCCCCAGCTGCCCCTCGGCCGGGTGGCCGATGCCGGGAGTCCGCTCTTCCGCGCAGGCTCGTGGGAAGTTGGCGATGTGTGCGGCCCGGCTCGTTGTATTGTTTGGTACCCAGCGTGACGATCCAGACGGTGTCCCCCTTCTTCCAGCCCCCCCCCCTCCCATCTGCGGTGGGGCCGCCGGTGGAGTGGGCGGCCGTCAGTGTCCGCTGGTCCCACACCGATCCTTGGTGCCCCGTGTGGCCCGGCACCGAGTGCCCTAGTGTGTTTTGGGGGAGTATTTGGTTGGGGGCGAGAGCTCTGGAGGGTGTGTGTTCTGTGATCAGGGAAAACCATTTTTGTCGCCTTAGGGGAAAAGGGTTTGCTGGGGGTGAAGGGCAAGTTGTCTCGGGGTGTTCCGTGATCTGTTGGCTGGATTGAATCTCTTTGGAGCAGAAGGACGGACCGTGGAAGTGACCCGACTTGGCAGAGTTTAAGAAAACTTGCAGGTGCAATCCCGTGGATTGTCAAAACAATGTCCCGTCTCCCCCTTCCCTCCTTCCCCCCCCCTCCCTGCCCTCAAATTGGAGGTACCTTGGCTTAGGGTGTCATTTCTGGGCGACTCGAGTTTTGAAGGCAATGATTTTTAATTTCCAGTGACAGTCTTTTGCTCTGTATAAGATGGTTTATTTTAGGTAAGCTTTTGACTTGTCCCGTAGGAGACTTGAAATCCTTAAAGTGTGCTCATCCTGAAAGTATCCTTAAAGCATTGACTCCAACGCTTGGGATGAGTATCTGTAGCCTCATTTGATAATTGAGAAAATACCTAATTATTTCAAGTATTGTTCTGTTTTATTCCTTTGTTCTCTTGACTTTATAACTTCTATCCTGTTTCTGCTTAGTCTGAGGCTGGTATTTGTGTAGGCAGACTTTTGTTGTAGTTTGTAGTGTTCATTTGTTAGATGCACATTTTAGACTCAAAGCTGAGACTACATAGTTTTAAAGTGATCAAGGTTGGAGATTCTTTATAAGAACTCTTTCACGTAACATTCGTATTTATGTTCTAATTGTGGCTTCCAACACTTGTCTGGCTGTTTTTACTTTGTCTGATTATAGTCAGGAGTTAGACCTATTATTCTCCACGAAGTAATAAAAGACAAGTAGGGGGGACACTTTACATGACTAATGAATAATGCTTTTTATTAGAGGTTGAAAACAAACTGGTGACTGAAAAAAAAATAAACATAAGACCCTTACGGAGAAATTTAGTACTGAACTTTGAACTCAGGACCTTGGACTTGTGGCAGGTCTTTTCCTACTTGAGACATGCCCCCAGTCCTTCTTCGTAATTTTTTAGTACATGGACATATTTGTAATCTTATTGTACAAGTTTGGTTGTTTGTAAGATGTTTGCGAGATGTATATTTGAGTATATTCAAATTGAATATGTATTGATTTTAGCAGGTGAGATAAATGAATCTTTTATGTAAGATTAGGAGATGGTGTAGATATAGATTTGACTTTATAAATCCTTCAGGTTAATAAACTGTTAGTTGCTTTTCCCTTTCCAATCCATCAGTCACTGAGTGTTTTCATACCTATGTTTGGTACAGGATGCTGGAAAGAAGTAAAGTGTTTAGAATCACGAAACAAATTTCCTAATAATGTTTGTTCTAACATGGCACATCCGTGTTGTTTCTGTAAAAGGATGGAATACCTTATTTCTGTAGTTCAACAAGTGTCTGGATAGAATTATCCTTATATCTTCATTATTTAATAAATTGTAACTTATAAATAGTTATTATTTGGAACTTTACTGATTAGATAAAGGTAAAAAATTGTATGGTGTATATTACATTCCTTTTTTCTTTCTTTTTTTTTTTTAAATAAAAGACTAAGTTCCCAAGCTAATTAAGTACTCAAACTCAATGTCTTGCACATGATAGACAAGCACTCTACCACTGAGCTCCATCTCCAGCATCTCCCTAGTGATCTTCCTTTCCAGTAACTGGTGTTGGGACTTGAACACCTGGCCTTTCTGTCTTGCCTGGCTTCCTTTATTGCTGGCATTCTACCACCTTAGCCACACTTTCACTTCTGGCTTTTTTGCATGTTAACAAACCAGAGATAAGAGTCTCTCAGATTTGACTGCCTGGGCTGGCTTTGAACTTGTAGTATTCAGATTTCAACCTTCTAAGTAGATAGAATTTTAGACATGAGCCATCATTGACCTGCTGGGTTTATTTTTTAAATGCAGAAATACTAGTGTTAAGGTGTTTACCTTTCTTTTTGAAATTACTTGCTGTGTTTGAGAAATCAAAAGATAGTTGTAATAAGATAATGTTTTGGTTTGATAGTCACCTATGAAATACTGGAGTATGATATACTTTTGTATGAAAGAAATGTGGTATAAGTGCTGTGCTTGTACCATACACTATAGGAATAAGTGGTTTGGAAGTTTGGCTGAAAGAGTTGAAATTATTAAAGTTTTAGCTTAAAACTTTTTTTTTCTAACTTCTAACAACAAGTTAGTGTCTCTGAGATTAAGGAAAGAAGTCTTTGTAAGGAACTCTGGCTCTATCTCTTTAATTAGAGTTCAAAAGTTCAGTAAAAGCTCTGTCACCTTAACAAGGCCCATTTCTAGATATCCCCTCCATGAACAATATTTTCTCTGTGTACGTGTGGGACCTCTGTTGGAAGGGGTTGAGGGGCATGGCCATGGCAGGCACTGCTTATTTCAAATGTGCTTTTAGTAAGACCTAAAACTTAATCCTTCAAGGGTGTATGGTGTTGATCTCACTGAAGTTTTCCTAGATTCTGGGGTTAAATGTGTGGGATATAGGTGTAAAGGACATTTTTCTGATGCCTGTTAAATATCTGAAGCCGTTCCTGGGAATTTCACTTTTCAACACTTAAGAGACAGGGCAGCACTTTGCAGTTGAGCAAATGGAAGCTTGAAGGGATAATTATTACAGCATCATCTACTGCTGAGTGGTGAAATAGAAGTTCAAACCACGCCAGAGGGTTTGCAAAGTCCAAGGTTTTTTTTTTTTTTTTTTTGTTCTTTGTTTTTCTTTTAAAGTTAGGGCCTGGGTACTCTCCCTTAGCTTTTTCTCTCAAGGCTGGTGCTCTTATTAGTTGAGTTCCACAGCTCCACCTCCAGTTTTTTGGTGGTTAATTGGAGAGAAGAGTCACATGGACTTTCCTGCTTGGGCTGGGCTGGCTTTAAACCTCAATCCTCTGATCTCAGCCTCCTCCTGAGTGTCTAGGATTACTGGTGCCCAATGTAGTGTTTGTGATTTTTTATGTTTTACTCACTCTTTTTCTTTCTTGATTTTTTTTTTTTTTTGTGTGTGGTAGGGCTTTCACACGTGCTAGGCAGGTATTCTACTGAGTGGGCTTCACTCCCCGTCTGTTAGACACTCTCTCTCTCTCTCTCTCCTTGTTTTTGTAAGTTGAATTTTCCTAATCTGGAAATAGAAACAGTTCAGATTTTAGATTTGCAGAGATGAGATGCTTACCTAGTAGAGTCTATGCAAATATTCCACAATTTGAATTCTAGCATCACATGTTTTAGATAAGCTTATGGGAAACAGTTTGTAGATTGTGTTTTTTGTCAGTTGTGGAGCTTGAACTCAGGGCCTGAAATCTGTCCCTGAGCTCTTTTGCTCAAGGCTAGTACTCTACCACTTTGAGCCACAGCACCACTTCTGGTTTTTGACTGGTTAATTGGAGATAACACTCTCAAGGGGACTTTTCTGCCTGAGCTGGCTTTGAACTGTGATCTTCACATCTCAGCCTTCTGAGTAGGATTATAGGTGTGAGCCACTGGTGCCTGGCTAGTTTGAAAATTTCTAAGAAAAAGTGATGGGTTATGATTTCACCACATCTCTCTATCTCAGTGAGCAAATAAGAGGCTATTTCTTTTTTATTGGGATGAGAACCACAGAAAAAATGAGTTGAGGGCCATAGAGTAAAAACTAATTTAGCCCTTTCTCTTTTGGGATATAAACAGAAACTCTGCTTTTGATATGAAGGAAATGAAATAGAGCAATATATTTAAGAGTTACATTTTTCTGTCATTTGAATATTACTGTATAACAAGTCTCTGAGAACAGACTTAAAATTTTGGCTATTTTAGGTAGAAGTTTTCCTAAAATGTATTGTTTGCTGTCATCTGAAAGCATATTAAATTTAGTCTTTGCTTAAATGTTTGAGGTTTAGTATAAGAAAAACTTGGTTTGGGGACTGTATTATTTCTGTTTTTAATATTTCTAGGACGTATTGAAATGGTATGGCAATTTATCATTTTTCTGAATTTATTCTAATTATGCTTTTGCATTTTGTATCTAATTTTAACAGTTTTGTCAACTTTTTGGTTAGGTTCTTTGGGTCTCTTAAAAAAACTTGAGGATGCCACCTTCTAATTAGTTTCTAATTTTTTCCCCCAAGAGAATGCTAAATAATCATACTTGCATGTGAAGTACAAATAATTAA